AAGGCTTCCATCAGGCAGTTTTTTAAAATGAAACTTGCCCTCCATCGGTCCAAGCGACGCGATCTCATCAGATTCCTCCATGTTTGTTGTTGTTAGCGTAGCGCTGACGCATCTCGTGCATCATGTGATTGGTGGACCATGAAATCGGATGCTGACAAACGTTCCGTGTTGTCTGGATGCGAACTGCGATTAAATGCATTAATTTTTTAATGCATTATTTTTGTTGTAATTAGTTAATCGTAGTTAACGCTTTAAAGTATATCAGGGGTGGGACTTTAACACGTTATTTTTGCGTTCATTGTAAATTGTGTTCGATTTGAGACTAATCAACTAGTCTAGCTAATATAGCAGCCAATACAGTCCATGTTTTGACTGCACAGCTTCAGATTTTTACAAATTCGTTGCCTTGTTGCCCAACAGTCTGCCTCAGGTAACATCTGACTTCCATCTGACCTACCAGCTCCCTCTGGAGCCACATTAGGTTTTATTCAGCTTTTTTTCCCTCATAAGCTGTAGCGCTCCTCAACACCTGTGAGCAGACTCCGGGATGTAAAATCGATAGAGTTTCCTTTCAGAGCTCCCAGGACAGAACAACACACTGAGATTTTGACCAGAGCACTGCTGCATAATGCAGTGACTCCCGAAGGGCGGCTCCGGGGACACTCAGCGGAGAGGGTTTCCAGAAATCAAATATAAGTTAAATGCTGCTCCTACATATTGTATTTTAACCTATATTGAATTACTGTTGGTTGTTTTTGTGGGCTCTTTTTGCCTTTATGATTTAATAGGCCTATGTTTCAACCACCTCTGGGGTCAGGAGTCTTTGGTGTTTTCTGGGTCGGGGGCTGACAAGTTTGGGAACCCTGTCTTGAAGTCAGGTAGAGTGTAGGTGGAGCAGGTAGACGCTGATGCACTTCACTGTTTGCTCTATTACAGCCCCATCTTGTAACGAACACAATCCCTGGCAACAGTGATTTTTTTCCAGTCCGCCGCCACAAATCAAGCGGGCCTTGGTACACACCTGTCAACACCCGACCACATGGCCGCACATGACTGCCCCCCCGACACCCACAGGCGTATATACATTAACTGCTGGCTTCATGTAATAGCGGCGGGATGATGTAACGTGGCGATAGTCGAAGGCAGACTTTCTCCTCAATGAAATTTAATGCCTGTCATTTAATTTTAGCATGACGGTCCTCCATCACATGGAAGCGTGTGCACTCTTTGAACCAAATCGGCTATAAAAAGCCACTATGTAAATCAGTTTTTAACGTCCCCTCTGGTTACTGCTTGTCTTCACTCCGGAGCTGCGAACGCAAGAAAAGGCCAAGAACGTCTTTGGCGTAACCGCGGAGCTCACCGGCGGCCTGCAGCGGGGCCAAACGCAGAGAGGGTTTATGGCGGCGGTGCCAGCCTGATAACCTCTCCCTTAACATTCGTAAGACCGAGCAGGTGGTGGCGGATTACAGTCGAGCATTTTTCCATTGACAGAGGCAGAAGGAGAAAGTTTGCGCTTTGAAGTTCCAGATTGCGCGCCGTATAGAGAGCATGCCATGAGGTCTACATTCAGGAACCGTATACCGTACTGAGGTGGAGCCGTAAACGTGGTATCTAAGTCAGCTCAGGAAGTTTGGCTCATATTAACGGGACATCTGACAGCTGTGCCGTGGAGAACATTCTGATCGGCTCCCTTTTAAAAAGACGGCATCGCCGCTCTGAAACCTCCACGCTGCGGGCTTTAGGTTCAAAACGTTAAGGCCAAGCTCCTCCAGAGCCACAGACGACAGGACGCAGTTGTTATTCCAGGCGTAGCTGCACTCATCACGACAGGCAAAGTGAATTGCAAGTGCAAGAATGGGTGGAGTGCCACTTTATGGACACTCTGCAGAGGAAATGCAGTGCTATTCTGTACAAGTTAACCTTTAAGAGTAATTCATAACAGCTGAACTGGTTGACATCACTTGAAGATACACATGTATGCCAGATGCGTTGCTTGTGCAGTTCATAAATATGGCACGTATACAGGACTGGACTTATTAATTTGCCACTCTGGACTGAAGTAGTTGGACGTCACTGGAAGTCCATCCATCAGTGGTGAGCACATCCAGAGATACAGCCAAATAATTCCTGAACAAGTGCTGGGGTTATTTTTTTGTTTGTACAGGGCAGGCACAAGTAAAATGTTTAAACATCTTATTTTCTGCAGCATATTCATAAACACAAGTTCAAATCTGCTCGTTGGATCACGACAAGGAGAAGATCTCTGTGTGGATTCTCAATCATCCAGGTCATCCTAGGAGAGGCAGTAAAAAAGCAACTGGACTTCTCTTTTAGGTTCTTGAAGATGTTTCAACTCCCATCCAAGAGGCCTCTTCACTTCAGTTCTAGCCGACTGATGGGGGAGTCTCAGATGTATACAGTCACTCCCAGCTCCCATGTCTAATGGCCCATTAGCCACGGCCAGTTGCTTCTTACCGAAGCTCCTAAAGATATAGGAAGAGGAAGAAGAAGTTGCTTTCCAGTCTGTTTCTGCCTCACTCTCCTAATCGACACATCTGGGTGAGTCATCGCAAATGGCTCGCCACGTTTCAAGTGTTTCCAATTGCGGATGGATGACAAATTAAAGGCAAAGTCGACATCAAGCGTCTAAATAAGGTGTTCAGCCGCCGGAACAGCTTCAGTGCACCTTGGCATTGATTCGCCAAGAGTCTGGAGGCATGAGCGCCATCCTTCCAGAAGATATTCCCTCATTTGACGTTTTGATGGTGGCGGTGGCGAGAGAGCTGAGAAACCGTCTCATAAGAAATTCCTGAAAATAGATATTACTTTGCAGACTTAACAAGCTTAGATTCTGCTCTTTCTCGTGATAAAATATTAATGTTACATTGCATATATATTAACATAGATATTAACCAATTTTAAGCATTTTTTAAACTGATAATGAGCAGCCTTATTACGTTGACATTGTTCCATGTCTTAATAAAACTGATTTCAAAGCAGTCACAAGACTTAAGTCACTCCAACAGCTTACATCATGTGATACAGGCTACTCTACTGAAACAGACAAGTAGCCAATAGCCTGCAGGGATTCTTTAAAGAGCACTCCAGCTCTGGCCGGTAGGCATTAGGCCTCACAAGAGACTTCCTCGTGGTGGCACTTGGCTAGCTAACCTTCCACAATGGTCAACGCAGAACTGCCTGTAGTCCAATGCTGTGTCCGAAATCACCCACTATACCCCACATAGCGCCATTTTGTAGTCCTGTCCGAATGTTAAGTCAAAAAAGTTCCACCCTATATAGTGCACTCAATATATCAAATGAAATGTAGCATACAGCCAATGGTTCACTAACCAAGCAATATGGACCATCATGCATTGCGCGTAAGGAAATGCTAACGAGAGTGCTAAAACTTGTCATTAAATTCTAAGTAATTTCCCGTTTATGTTATGTTAGATTTAAAATTTTCTTAGCTATGCAATAAACTATGAATTTGATGTGTTTGCAGGATGCTACTACGGCACAAATCGCAGCTAGCAGGCGACGTAATTAATAGCTCGAAATGTTGCTTTGCCGAGGTGCTCCCTTCATAGTTCACTACATAGTGGTCTCTATATAGTTAGTAGGGAGTGAGCGGATGATTTTGGACACAGCCCAAGTGACTTTCTCCTCGGGTTGTTAGAGGTGCCACCTGGTGGTGCAACCAGGTACTACAGCTAATCTACTTTATATTTTCTGACATGCATGTCCTTCATCCTTTATTTGGTAAGATATTCTCATTGGTTACAGTATTAATGGCATGTAATCCATCCATCCATCATCTATACAATCCTCACTAAGGGTCGCGGGGTGCTGGAGTCTATCCCAGCTGAAGAACAAATTAACGAATTACGCAGCTGTGTGTAGGTTGCAGCTATGATTAAATATATAAAAAATAAATGTGCTGCACCTCAGGGCAAAGAAATGCTTTGAGAGCAACTCTCAGCAAAAGACAAAACCAGGGATGTGAATTTAGACCCAAAGCACGTCCGTCGGGGCACAAAGGGTTAATGGATAATTACGCAGCACTAATTCTGTCCCACTTACCGCTAGTGTTTGTAACCAAGAAACAATTATTATGGTTTTTTTTTTTGGGTCACTATCAAACGTCCTGCCAGCAGCTAAAAGGACATAATCGCTCCCACTTGATGTTTAATGTTAAACAACTGCAGTAAAAGTTGTGTTGCACTGAAGAAAACTTTACTGCAACTGGAAAAAAAACAACAACTGGGAATAATTAGTGAATGAAAGCCATATTTCAGCCTTCAGAGAAGAAAAATGTGAGCGTACAGGTAACACTGGGACACTTATTTGAGAGTTTACGGTCCTGACTTGTCGTGCAGCCGTTCTGTCAGCGGTCACTCGGCTGCAACCCTCGAGGTAGTTTCACTTCCAGCTGTAAGTGCGGCTTTCACAACAACATGCGATGATTCCACGCGGAGCAGAAAGAGATCAAAGAGCAGTCTAATTCAATTGATGAGCTATCAAGCATCTCTGTCCTCATAAGACTTCACTCAGCGGCACTGGGAACACCACATCAGACTAGTGTTACGCAATCGAGTTAGCATTAAAGCCTAAATGAGTTTAGATGTGGAGAGTGTTCTCCCTGGAGAAAAAATGAAATGTAAGAAAATACAAAGAGGGCACGAGGAGAGAGTAAAGTGACAGGAATCATAGGTGAAGAGGAAGATGGAATAAAAAAGAGCAGGAGGGGTTGTACGAGGTAGCATGACGAGGTGTGTTGTGATAACAGAGAGCGTGTCACCGGGGGGAGGATCCACACATGCAGACAGACGAGGAGGGAGGAGGCGAGGGAGGCTGGACCAGAGCAGCCAGAGGGAGGGAGGAAGGAGGTGACGGGAGGGGAGGTTGGCCGTCCCTCCCAGCAGCCAGTCTGAGGCTGAGCGCTACTATTGCCACAGATACCTCAGCTGATAGCTCCAGCTCTTACTGTACTCGGCTGGGATCGACCGGCGCGCTCTGGTCACTGCGAGCTTGTTTTTGTTTTGTTTTTTTTTTAAACCGCCGCTCATCTGAACCAGACTGCGCACAGGACACGTGCACTCCAATCCTTGGGAAGCTGGAAACAGCAGAAAGAGCTGCCGGGTTGCAATCGCCTCAGTAAATCCTGCAACATGCATATCTTACAGCCGTACTGCATCAACAGGTTGGAGTTGAATGTGTTTGTCTGTGTCTGTTGGAAGTGGGAGCAGGTCTTCTTAGTTCATATCATAAAGTCTGGACTGTGTGTGTGTTGAAGTCGCTACAAGGGGATGGACTGTGTTTGAGTTCATTGCTCTTGAATTCATAGAAATAATTCACAAATCGGATTTCCAAATGACAGTCACATTAACTTACTTTCATCTCGCAGAAGTCTGGAGCTCCTGCGACATCTTAATCCTTTAATTGTTCACATGATTTCTGAAGTTCTTTTCGTTCTTTTTCCGCTAAAGTGATTAAGGAAGGAAGCCCCCCTACTAACTGCATTATGTTTTATTGATGGAGATTTATAAAGCAAACATGGTGCCGTGTGAGCGCAGCAGCAGCAGCAGCAGCAGGAGGAGGAGGAGGGTCTGGAGCGCGGCAGTCAGCTGATGGAAACGTGCCGGCGTTCCTTCTTTTTTTTTTTTGGTTGTTGTTATGTTTTTTCATTGTGGCAGGAAGCGTTGTGCACGTGAGGGGTCCCATAAACCGAGCTCGCTTTAAAGTAAATCCGTTGTCAAAACCACATCACAGCATCTTCCGGACTGCTGCTGCCCTCAGGACGGACGGACGGACGGACGCGACTGGTGTCTGTGACGGCAGCGTTTGTTCAGCTCGTAGTGACACGTGTTCACAAGAGGGTGAACTTCAGCAGCAATTCGTTGGAGGTTTTATGTAATCATGGCAGCATCCAAAGCGGTACAAAAAGTTAACTGAAGTTGAATTAATACTCTTTAATTACAACAAGGGGGGTCGACTGATTATTAGATCAGATGTTCAGCATCTCTCCTATTATTGGTGTCATTATTTTTCACTAAGCAACAGAATAAATTCAATTAATATAGAAATGTTTGGCTCAGATGCTGATGCCTCTCTATCTGGAGCCGCTTTGAGTGGTTACACATCAGCCAATCAAACCACTGAAGGGAGCATTTTGAAAAAATGGCGTTAAATGAAACATTCCTAAAACATAAATGAGCAAAGTTGCACCAGAGTTTGTTATTCAGAGTTTTAATAGTGATTTTTATTATCTGATTTCTTGATTACTAAAAAAAAAACATACCAGTCGACCCCTAACGTGCCATGTGACTCCTAGTTTCTATTCTCTACTTTGTCAGAGCTAAATCTACCCGGACAAAGACGTAAAAATTAGATTAAACTGTAAACTTTAACAAAAGCTGCAGTGGCGTAGCAGGTTCGATCAACTCCTGAAGTTAAACTTGTAATAATTTGCTAGCTACGCTGCATAAAGTCTGCTGGAGATGGTTGAAATCGGGCCTCAAATGTCTGGTTTTTAACATAAGATTAAAGAAATACAAATTTCAGTTTGCTCTGCTGCCACCTGGTGGTCAATAATGAACCAACATAGCTTTAAGTTGCACATTGTAGTTGTGATATAGTGTTTTTGTTGTTGTTCTGACACGAGGTTTAGAGCCAAAGAATTATTTCAGTTGCACTAAATTGAAATTAATCCTCCTTCAGACACTTTTCTTACCCGTCCACCACCATTATGCTACACATCTGAGGGATTTCCTTCGTGTTGCAGAAGCAAACAGTGGACATGAACCTGCCAACAACACGCTCCATCAAACTGATTTTTTTGAATGCAGGGTTTTTCTATATCGGTGGTTCAACCAGAGGAAACCCATTCCCACCACGTGCAATAAAGTTAACAAGTGTGACCGGCCGTGAAGAGCAGCGAGAAAAAAGACGTCAGAGCATTGTTGTTGTTGTTGTTGTTGTTGTTGTTTTTGTTTTTTGCAGTGGGGGGTGAAAGAGAAATGTGGATTTGACTACCAGAGAAAGAGAGAGAGAGGACAGTAGTGTTACCTAATACTGCCGATGGAAGTTTAGGGAGGAGAGAGACGGGGTGGAGGAGAGGGAAAAACTGAAATCACTGCGAAGCAAAGGAGCAAAGTTGAGGAAACGTCTGTTTGGCTGCGAGTGGAGGCGAAGTGGGAGGGGTTTGGAGAGATTTTATTGAGTGGAAGAGGGGGGGAAACGGTGGTGGTGGTGGTGGTGGTGGGAGGGGAGTGGATGGGCAGAAAAAGAAGGGAGGGAGAGAGGATGGTAATCCAAATCTGCTGCCAGGAGCGAATGCAGACTCCATCCTGCGAGAAAGAGAAAAGAGGAAGGATGGGGAATTATAGAAAGAGATAGGAGGTGGGGGGAGAGATGAGGGAAGGAATTATCTATATCCTGGAGGATGTGTGTGTGTGCAGTGTGTGTGTGTGTGCGTGTGTGTGTGTGTGCGCAGTGTTTTATGTGCAGAGCGTGCATGTGTTCGCCCATGCATGGGAGGCATCGGTATGAGTCACTGAGTTTCTGAATAACCCCCCCAAAAAAATATTGAAAGCACAAGGTGTGCTAACCTTTAAATGGCCTCTATATGTTCTTTAAAAGCGGATGTGACTGAAAATAAGGAATATATATTAGGGCTCGGGCCGAAGTAAAAAAAAAAAACCCAGAACGAATTCACAAAGACGGCTGCAGAGAAAGAGGAGGCGACACAAAAGGACAAAGCGTCCCTGCGGTCAGGCTCAGGTAGCTTATCTGCAGCCAGGTGAACTTTAGCTGTGCGTACATGCTGCCAGCGAGTCCATAAGCAGTCTGATGTAGTTTTAGACGATAACTCTTCTGAATTTCTTATGTGTTGCTGTAGAAAACTTTTAAACTGTCGCTGTTTGTCGGTTGTCAGACGCTCGCTGTCTGCTGCAGCGGCTTGACTTGAGGTTCATATTAGCATGCTAGCAGTGCTAACAGTGTTTTACCAAGTTTAATGTCGACTATGTAGACTGTGTTAGCATGTTAGCGTGCTAACAATGGCATTTAGCACTAAACCACTGTTTGACTGAAGTACAGTCATGACTCAATAATCCGACCCTTAATCCGAAAACCTCGCTATCCGACAGGTGGAAGTGCCTGCCCTGACCGCGCCGAATATTTGGATATTTGTCATTAATTGGGCCCAAATGTCTGGAGACCAGAAAGTGCTATTCGGACCAGCCCTAGGTTGTCGTGTATCAATGACATGTAGGTCGGATGAGCACGACCTGGACGTTCAGACAGAAGTCACAAAAGATACCTATCGGACTTAGTACCACCAATCAACCGATGGGCCTGTGCACAAGCGCACCGGTCAGTTAGGCGTGAAATCCAGCGATGTGTAGTGTTCTAACAATACACTAGTTATTATAACAACTATGAACAATAAATATTAACAACAAATGAGCCTTCCAGCATCAAGCCCTCCTTGTAGCTCGACCTCCGTCTTGACAATCCGACATGAAAGAAGGTTTTACATTTAGTGTCGGATTATCAAGTCACGACGGTAAATATAAAATATACAGTGAGTAATAAATTGTACAGCAGTGCATCCAATAGTTAGCAAAATATTAAACAAGAGGAAAAGTCAGAGAATCTCTATGGACAGACCGTCGTACGCTTCGTTATCGTTCTGCTAGCGGGGAAAGAAACGCTCTGGCTTGTTTATATTACTTTAAACCAATCACAGTTTGAGTGAGTCCCTGCGTTTGAAACTATTGGCCCTCTCCACATTTATGACCGAGAGAGGCCTGCATAACTGGAGAAGGTGAAGGTCAGTTCAGGGTCTAGCTGGTGTCCAAAAAGTCCAACTATTTACAAGATCAGTGTGACGGTTCCTGTTGCCGTTTTGAGGCTTCTCCTTCCACGGTTGTGTCTGAAGACACCCGAGCCGACTGCGGCCGTTCAGTGTATTTACAAGGCCGGTGTGGGCTCACGGTTACGGTCGGGTTATTTCTGGTTTCGCTCACGTGCACAACCTTTTTCTGGTTGTGAATGAAAGTGGAGGAGGAGGGGAGGCGTTGGCCGATGCATCCGTTTGTTTTTGGTCTGTTGACATCCGGTGCTACAAATCAGCTGGACTTTACGTTTTTAAAGGGCCGCCTGTTTTGTTTTACTTTTATGGGGGTTTTATTGTAGCAAAACTAGAGTTGTGTGTCTGTAGTGAGATTTGTCGATGTGTAAAAAGATATTAATAGATGAAAAGTGTTTAAGTGAAATACAAACGAATGAACAGTTACCAGTCAAGTGAGCCTCACAGTTGACTTTTGGCTCCACTTCTGCCGCGAGAGATTCGTTATTTCTTCAAAGAAACCCTGAAATTACAGAAATCTCTCACGGCAGAAGTGTAGCAAAAGTCGTATAAAAAGACAGCCAACCTTTTTACACTTTCACAAATCTCATTTTTATGCATCATTTTCCAGATCGTATAAACATTTGTTAGCAGATTCTTGCACCATCAGTCACGGTATATAAAGCTGTTGTCAAGACTGCGGGATTTTGATGCAACTTGGTGTCTGAAATAGACAAAAACAAACATAATTAAATATTGCAGAACTGCGATAAGTTTCACAGATGGTAAACCAATGGAATGCAGTAATGTCAAATATATGTCAGTTGTAATGAATGCTCTTAAAAGGGCATTAATAGAAAGTTTGTTAGTGAATAATTAAGTTTTATCAAAAATTGAGCAGCTTTATGTTTTACTCATAGAAGCTCCACCTACAGATTTTCAGATCTTTGAACTGTTTTTACCAACTGATCCAAAAACAAATGATCAGTGCATCTATAGATTTTGGAAAAACAGATGTTAATGAAAGTAAAAATGCATTTTAATCAAGATGTCGTCTTCTTGAATCTCATCGCGTCTCTTTCCTGTTCCCCCTCTCAGGTGGCCAGATGTGCCGAAGAGGAAGAGGAAGAACAGCCAGTGCTCGGTGAAGAGCATGTCCGGTAAGGGCTTTACCGTCACCGCCGCCTCAGCCGCCGTTTTCTGCCGCCTCCAAACAAACAAGCGAACACGATTCAAAGCAGGTTTCTTTTAGGACGCTCGGCCTTTTGATGTGCTGCTTGCAGGATTTGGCCGGCGATCAGTGCGGCTCGTCGCTCCCCCAGCTGCCTCTTTCGGGCTTCGAGTGTTGTCCTCTTTGTCATTAATATAATAATCTCCTCATCATCATTTTAGATTTCACCCCTCGGTGGCTTTGTTGAACACAAATTAGCTCACCCAGGTGAAATTAGTTTAAGGTGGAGCTGTAGACGGAGATAATAAGGTTCAGCGCGACTGTAATTCACTGCTAATGTCATTTTAAACTTATTTTTAACCAGCTTACGTGTTCGATTGTGACAAATCCTTCACACTTATTAGAAAAATGCTCAAATATAATTGAAGGATCGAGCAGTGTTTCCAACCGGACGCTATTAATGTAGTAAATATTGTGACTTCTAGAGGAAAACTGGTCATTTTATTGTGCCTGATCATGAGAACAAACCCTGTCCTCACAAGTATTCAGCTCAAAGTACCAATACAGCAGTGTAAAAAGTACTCCATTACAAGTGAAAAGTTTTACTCATTGGCAGCCAAATGTAGCTCCAGCATTAAAGGAAAAGTTTTGGGTTTGGTCGCTCTGACTGATGTAATATTAACTATGATTATATTATTAATGGTGGAGCTTCAGCGTGTTGCTGCTGCAGGTGGAGCCGGTTTGATCTGCTTCACATACAGCTTCATTTATTAGGAAGGACAGCAGATAAATAACAGGAGTGTGTTGCCAGTTTCTGGACATTTTCCTGAGATATTGGATCATTTAGACATTTAAATTAAACCATTTTAGAGGTTTAACAAATCCAGGAATCTGATTACATATTGGGGTTTTGTTTTTAAAAAGCATAAAAGGATGAAAACCAGCAGCTTAATCTTCAATCTATTGTCTAAAATCTTCATCTTAAAGTGAGTAAAGTAAGTTTAGGGGAGGAGAGGCATCATGAAGTGGTAGTGGAATTAACATATTAGTCTTATGATGATGACCAACCTAAAATAAGAAAACTACTCGTGTATTAAGTGTGAAATATATGTTTTTATGTGATAGTTTTAAGTGTCTGGCAGGCGTTACCTGCTAGTAAATGGGGCCGATAGCACATTTTAAAGCCTCTAATGCCTGATAATGATGCAGATATCATCATAAATTACTCCTTTTGTTCGTCCCTGTATTTAAATAATGTATTGTACGGGTTCCAGACCAATACGATTTTGATGTTGGGCCAAACTTTTTCGCTTTGGGAAACACTCTCCATTTATAATTGGCTGTTGTGAACCAAAACACAGCATGTGGCTTTGTTTCATTTGTTTCCCTCAACGTTCCCGAAGCCCAGTTGTGGGCAAGACAACTGAATAAACAGAATAAACTCTTTATTAGACATCATAAAGTCACGGTCCTTGTTGTGAGAATTAAACTTCAGAGTAAGCTATAGAGTAAAACCTTAAACAGAACATTGTCATGAAGCTGCTGCCCTTTCCTACGTCACAGTGAATTCAAATCGATAAATCACGTTTATGCTCAGAGGAGGATTTAACCCACATCTGGCCCCCGTTGGTCATTCTTTATTTTATGAGCTGAATCAATAGTAGATGTTTTGAAAGCACATTTCATTTCTGCAGGAGCGGTTAAGTCAGAATATTGGCAAAAAGCAATTTCCAACAAATAGAACAAAGCATAAATAATAAGAAAGAACATTTTAGTAGGAAGGAACTAAGAAACTAGGTTAAACTATGGAGAGTGGATATGAGATATATATCACGGGAAAAACCTCTAAAATATAATATATATTACCCCATTATAGAAAAAGATTTAAAATGAATAAATTAACATAAATTAAATAAATACACATTGTCGTATCTGTTTGCTCGGCTGGATAAATAAGAAAAAGACAATTAGAATTTTATTTTTTTTTAGTAACAAATGTTATTTTAAGAGTAAATGCAAAAAGTAAATAAGTAAATATTTGCAATAGCGTGTATTTTATTTCTCTATATGTCTTTGACACGCATCCATCCATGCTGAACCAACCTACACTAACTCTGGATCGTACCATTTTTAAATTACAAGACGTTTTTCTGTATTGCGTGTAGAGCAACAGTGAAGAATTAAAGATTCACTTTCAGCAGCCGTCAGTAAATGAAGTCGTACAGACAGAACGGATTCGCCTTTTCTGTGCTTCAGTGGAATAAGAAGATCCACTCAGAAAATCCTCTGAAGTGCTCCGAGCTCTTCTGCCTTCTAGAAACCTCTTTGAATGTGTGATAGCGAGCGGCTGCTTCTTCTTCTTCTTCTTCTGCTGCTGTGTGTCTGAGGCGGAGGCTCTGCTGACTGAGGCTTTTCAGCAAACGGCTTTAAGCGTGGAATTGCATGTTTGTGTTTTTTGCAAAAAAAAAAAAATTCTGAGGTGGTCTAGTCCGTCGGAGGACACGAGGCCTTTCCGAGCATGCTCAGATGACTGTCGGTCCTTCTGCAACGACATGACAGCTCAGAGGTTTTAGTCCCAAAAGCAGGAAAACAGAACCAAAATAAACCACAGGAGACCAAAATGTTTCACTTATTTGTTCATTTATTGAGGAAAATGATCCGATATTACAAACTGTGAGCAGCAAAAATAAATGATTTGTTTCTGGTGTCTTCAAGGAAACTTTATTTATCAACATTTCAGCAGTCTGTCCGGTCCTGATCTGCTTCACATTGTTGCCTTAAGAAACCGACACTGATGTCGTCCAGAGTTATATTCTAGTTTCATCACAGCCAAACACAACCGGGAGCTCTGAGAAGCAGAACAAACTAAATGTTCCTCCTCGTACGTCCCTCAGAAACAACTGCACTGGAGTCACATGCAGACACACTGGTTTTAGTTTTTATCTTGTGTAATAGAACATAAACATGTCAACTGATTTGTTCAAGTCACAGATCTGGAACGACAGAAAATGAAGCAGCAGTGAGTTATGACTGAGATTTCACCTGCAGGCAGTGTGAGGATAGAAGAAGAAGAAGAAGGAGGAGGAGGAGGAGGAGGTCAGGGTTAGAAGAAGAAATCTGCTGTTTTCTAATTAGCGGAGGGAAAGTCCTGACCTTGATCCAATAGAGATGTTGCGGATGAACCTGAACCACGGAGTTCATGTGAGGCAATCCGCCCACATCACAGAGTTGGAGCGGTTTTATTTACAGAGAAATGGCCTCAGATTCCTCCTGATGGGCCGCATGATCAGCAGTTACACTTTAGTTCCAGCTGTTGCTGAACAAGGCGTCTAACATGTTCCTCAATAAATAAATGACTAAGTATATTTTATTTGCAAAAACTGATCACTTTTCCTCACTTTCCCATCGTCTACCTGAGACAAAACCAATCAAACTTAAGTTATCTCTACTTTTGTCGTGTCAAATCCACTCAACTTCAGTTTGATTGTTCTGGTAGATGAATCGTAGCTACTGGAGTTCCTTGAAGACGTTTCATCCAAGAGGCTTCATCAGTTCTGACTGACTAGTTGGGAGTTCCACATATCCTTAAGGAGTCATTAACACCTGAGTTTCAGTTGGGGGTTTGTTGCTCCTCCCCCTCATTATGTGACTCGTTAGTGCTCCTCCTGCCACAATGGGGTTCGTTAGGGTCTTCTGTGACTAGGTGTGGATGTGGTTTCATCTTCCTGGGGGAGATCTTAGGACTGAATATTTGAAACTCAGGTGTTAATGACTCCTAAAGGATATAAGTATGTGGAACTCCCAACTAGTCAGAAGTGTTTATGTTTTCTTATATTTATATATAAACAGCTTTTTATTGCTGATCAGAATCTGACATTTTATGCAATGTATGTTTTCAATTTCGGCAGAAAGATGAGCAATAGATGAGCGGATGGACGCCACTTGCACATCTGTGGAAATACAGAAGCCAGCAGCTAGTTAGCTTAGCATCAGAGCAGTTTTGAAGCAAAGTGTGGCGACTTATACATTAAGAAAGGATTTAAACCCGAATCTTCCAAGTTAAATATCGTCTTCGTGCCCTCTCACCTGCTCTGGCTGATTAGCAAAAATAGATTTATTTTCTAAAGCCTGAAAATGGTGCCAAGACGAAAAGTTAGCTTTTCCTCTTCCTGGGGAGAGATCTTAGGACTGAATATTTGAAACTCAGGTGTTAATGGCTCCTTAAGGATATCTGGAACTCCCAACTAGTCAGTCAGAGCTGATGAAGCCTCTTGGATGAGAGGTGGAACATCTTCAAGGAACTCCAGTAGCTACGATTAATCTACCAGAACAACTGTGATTGAATTTGTCAAACTGTTGGTGTGTATCTACATTTTGGACTTTCTGAGAAAATCTTACGTCATATTCAAGCAGAAACTTTGAGGTACCGCTGTACCCGGGGGACGGGGTCGGGTAAAGGGAAACTTCTCCAGAGGAATGAGTTGGGAAGTACAAAGTTGGAATTTTGAAAAAAGCATATTTCATGAGCGTAAACCTCTTGAGCCTGCATGGTATCAGGTGTTTGCAGAACAGGCTGCCAGTCGTCTCTGTGTTCCATCCTGTTCCACAGTCTCCGGAGCCCTGAGCACAGGTGCTTCACCGAGACCTCTGTGATAACGCTCAGCCCCTTCGCTACCTTCCTCCTCCTCCTCCTCCTCACTGCCGTCTTCCATCTTAACTCCCCCTCCTCACCGCCTTGGCATCCCCCTCCCCTCCGATCGCACTCCTGGTTCACCCTTCTCTCATGCCACCCTGTCTTCCTCTTCGACCTCCTCCTCCTCCTCCTCCTCCTCCTCTCCTATAGCTCTTAGCGTCTCTGTTCCAGGGTACATCCCCAGCTACCTGGAGAAGGACGAGCCATGCGTGGTGTGCGGAGACAAGGCGACCGGGTACCACTACCGCTGCATCACCTGCGAGGGTTGCAAGGTGAGCAGCCGTCACTCACTCAGATTGCCTCTGACAGACGTGGGCGCCGGCGATGGCAGCCGCGTCAAACTTGTGATTCGTCGGCGCGTTGAAGCGGCGTGCGCGAGCCTCTAGTACAAACATACACGGGGAGATCTAACCGCGGTTTCTGCTTCCCGAATTCAAAAAAATACAAGAGGAGAAAAAAAATAGTACAAGGAGTGCATTAAAGAGTGTGTTTGTCAGGTATTACAGGCTCTGATGGCTCTGACAGGAGGTGGAGGGAGTTGATCCGGCGCCGAAATGACAGCTGACATCGGCCCGTTTTAAAGTCTGACAGCAGCAGGATGATTTTTAGACAGATTTCAAACCGCCGCAGTCAGAAGATTAAATTGAAAGTGGGGGTAAAAGAAAAAAAACACAGCATCAACAAGAAAGGATGTGAAAACGGCGTCTTCCCGGCTGAAGTTTTGTGGAGTTTAACGTGCCGCCGCTGCTCATTTGTTCGTTCTGATTAGATGAACTAATTCGCACAAAAGCCCTTTTGTATCCACGAGAATGAAATTTGTCAGTTTGTAATGATCGGCCTTTTGCTAAATCAGATATCCCGACTAAAGATTTCGGGGCCTTTAATTACATTCCCCTTGCAGTCTTGGTGATGGAGCGACAGCGCGGAGATCTGCCGTGTTGCATTCATTAATACGAGCTGTGCAGTTGCAGGATTCATCCCGTCGTCTTGATGAGGTTTGCAGCTGACACGGCAATGCTTGATGTAAGCTGCTAATTAGGAGCAGATAAAAGCTACCAGCAGCCCCTGTAGAGTTGAGCATCATTTGGTGTGTAACTTTTCGACCATGCCAACAAGCAGCTGCGTGATTTCAAAAACAGAGGCCTGGCTGTTGCTCTCCGGTCACTCGTCAGTCCGCCCTGCAGACGGTTCCGAGCTGTCCTCAAGTGACTGAGCAGCGTGACGGATTCCAATGTTCTGATTTCATTATTTAAGGGAAGAAGCTGGCATCGCTCTATATGTTCTTTGATTGCCAACAGACCCTATGAAAAGATGAAGATCAACAAAGTCTCCCACTCACCTGGCACTCGGCCCTGGGTGCTTTCCACTGAAAATGAAAATCTTTGGAAGCGGACCACAAATATGCGGCGTCTTTTTTTATTTTTTAATTAAATCTCCGTAATTACAAATGTGAGTCAGCCTCAGACTGAAACACATTTGGTCCTCATGTCAACAAACTACGGGTTTGACTGAAAACACAAGTTTCTGTTCAAGTGTTTATGTATTCTTATGTTTATATGTATAAACAGCTTTTTATTGCTGATCAGAATCTGACATTTTATGGAATATATGTTTTCAATTTCGGCAGAAAGATGAGCAATAGATGAGAGGATGGACGCCTCTTGCACATCTGCAGCTAGTTAGCTTAGCATCAGAGACTGTACGTCAGAGCAGTTTTGAAGCAAAGTGTGGCGGCATCGGCTTTAGACGTTAAGAAATTAAGCGTTTATTCGCGTCACACGGGATTCAAACCCGAATCTTCCAAGTTGAATATCGTCTTCGTGCTCTCTCACCTGCTCTGGCTGATTAGCAAAAATAGATTTATTTTCTAAAGCCTGAAAATGGTGCCAAGAAGAAATGCACAATTCAAGTTAGCTTTTAGACTATTTGAACTACAGTACCCTACAAGGATCGCATGGACTTTTTTTTTGCAGAGTAATGCCAAAAAACAAACCCAGCCTTAATACAATTTGAATAGATGATGTAAACCAAAATTCTGCCCCTCTACAGTTCTCATGAATGAAAAAATCAGCTCTAGAGACCAAAACTGTTCTTTGCATCAGGCTGTAAACTCGTTTATTTCTGCTGTCTAGTTGGACGTTTTAACATGTGGGTCTTTGGGGATTGACTCAGCCTCTAGTGGACATTTGAGGAACTGCAGTTTTTTGGCACTAAAGGAATCATAGAAGTTGCTGCTGCCAATCAGGAAATGAGCTCATCGCTGCAAACAGCTGCCAAGAAGTTAGGGAAATTACATTAGCTTTCTAATTTGCGCTGGACAGAATTGTTGGCAACGACAGAAGGAACATGAAGAAGCACTGACACAGTCTGAACAACGTTTGTATTGATTATGTGCACACAGGAAATAAAGTAAAATGGATCGCCACTTTTCTTTTTGGTACTTACCCGTTTGGTTCCTTGATGCCAGGTGCAAAGCTGCTGATCTATTATCTAATGACTGGCATCCCGCTGAACAGCCTGTCCGTCCGTCCTCTAAACATGGCAGCAGCTATTCTCGTAGCACGCTGCCGTTGTCACATGGGAAAACGGGCTGGCAGCGGTGGCGAGAAGCATAAATTACATATGTTTTCCCTTAAGCGATACACAAAAACACAAGCGCCTCATTGTTCCGAGGCTGCTTTTAAGTTGTTATGGACTTCTGTGAGGACGACTGGAGTTGTTCCTGGTTAGCATCCCGCAGGAATTTGCAAAATAGCAACTTGTCGTGCTCAAAATCAGGCCTTTGTAGGAAACGTCTGCAATGTGATTCCAAACCGCAAACAGTTGTCGAACATTCTTGGAAATGAAGGCTCTGCCATGCAATCATCAGGCTGCCATGTGATGCGACCCATTAAATGCGTTATTTTATGCCGGTTAGAACACAGGAACAGTTAATTGGTGGATTCAATTTTGTGGTTATGGAGTTATGCATTTCCTTCAATCCAAAAAAAAAAAAAGAAAAAAAATCCCCCTTTAGCTGATTTTATGTTCTTTTGCTCTGTTTGGTCCATCTTTTTATTATAACATCCGTTCCCTCTGTGTTCCCTTTTTTCCTCATTTTCTTTTTTTTTTCTTTTTAGGGTTTCTTCCGCAGGACGATTCAGAAGAACCTCCATCCATCCTACTCCTGTAAATATGAAGGCTGTTGCATCATCGACAAGATCACCCGCAACCAGTGCCAGCTGTGCCGCTTCAAGAAGTGCATCTCTGTGGGCATGGCCATGGACCGTAAGTTGTTAGAAAGTCCTGCGTTCCCACCACGAATTTAAATAGAGAACCACGAGGCTAAAGCTGCCACAGAAACAATATTTTTAGCTTTGAGAGAGCGGTCAGTCGGTTGGTCGCCGCTTTTGTCCCGACTGAAATATCTCCAAGACAATAGGATGGACTGCCAAGAAATTCATGCCTTTCCTGCAGCGCGCCACCGTGGAGTTTTTGGTTTTAAAGGTGGAGTCGAGCATTCTTGGGAAAACACATCCCTCCCTTCAGTCCTGCTCCAGAAGCCTTGACACAAAATCCATGGACTTGCAGTGCCTTGACGTTAACCTCTCTGTCAGAGGGCCGAAGAGAGACGTTCCAGACTTGTAGGTGTGAAAGTGGACATCTCTTAGTTAAAATCGGTTTTATCGGCCGGGAGGTGCAAAGAGTCGACAGCCGACGCCGTCCTTTCTCCAGTGGAGAGGCGATGCTGTGGTTTCTGTGCTGTGGAGCCCCGTGGTGCTGAAACCAGCTTCCACCGAACATTTCGCCTCAGAAAACTGGGAGGACAAAAGCGGTCGCTGTTCTCGCTCTTACCAGCTCAACAGGCGACACAAAAACCATCCATTTCTAAAAAAAGAAGGCAAACTATGTTATAAATCTCCTGAATTCAGCCTGTGCTCCAGACGTATGCAGGGATTCACAGGGCTGTCCTCTGCACGAGCCCCAACGGTGGTGCAGGATCAGTCTGAGCCACTTTGTTTCCAGAATTATGTACAAAAGCTGGATTTTTTTTTCAGCGTGCTCTCACAATGGACAGCTAGTGAACCAGGAGAGTCTTGACAACTACTGGATGCTGCCATGTGGTGTAGTGCACGTATTCATGTTCCCTGTAGGAGCTGTTGCGATAGCTTTAGCGGTCCTTAAACTTTTTATCTAGTGTCAGATCAGTTATTCGCTAATATCTACAGTCAACACTATGTTTACAGCTAAGTATCTGATGTTAACACATGGTTAACACAAAGGCTGTTTTAACATCAGGCTCAAACGTTACCATGTACTGTAGACTCTTGGTCTTGTTAGGGTCCGAGCACTAACAGTTCAAGAAACTTCTTGAAATCCATGCATTTATTATTATTTTTCTTCTCCACTAAAAAGAAATGCAAATTAGAGGACCTAAACATGCATAAAAACTCACCAAAATCACCACTCACATCAGGACTGGCCAAAAAAATTAGATATTTTAAAGGACATGTCAATGGCAAAGTGGCTCCACAGCGCCCCCTTGAAAATTTCAACAAAGTCCCGTCAGAAGCACAATCGGCCTAGAGCTATGAAATTTGGTAGGTATATGGAGCAGGTCGAGTTGTGCAAAAAAAGTTGACCAGCGTCTGGCTCAACAGCGCCCCCTACAAAATTTCAACGGACTCCCACTTAGAGCTACAAAATTCAATCGACATATGTAGCACCAAGCCCTAAACCCAACAGGCAGTCAGCCATTTTGAAAAAAAAAGTGACAGTTTTGACGGTTTTCGCTAATTTTCAGCCATTTTCAGAATCTATCTTCTCCCAGGGGGTACGTCGTACACACCTGATATTCGGCCAGCACAAACTACACGACCTGGTGATTAAAGGTTATTCCAACGCTCCGCATTAGTCTGACAGCATCGAAATGGCGACCCACAGAATTTCACCAGAACGCCATAAAACGGGCCGTGCTGTGTAACTGGCCTGTACTTGTTCTGATCTTCCCAAAACTCAACACACTAGATCAGAGTCCTACCCCGAGTTGTGCAACAGCCGACAATCGTACGATGAGGACCTGATCATCGCTGCCTTCAGCTTAAATTAACTTTTATTTCTGCATAAAAACTCAGCACTGGAGGCTCCTCTCAGCGAAACAAAACAACAGTTGACATCTAACTTCTTTTTTTATGATGTGCATATTCTCGGGTCTTTAACTATAGAAATGAGCAACACACATGCTCATCAGCATCATCCCACTCTGTGTCGGGGATGACGTTAATTTAGCAGTACATCTGCTCCCGTGAATAAAGGAAATGGCTTCCTTTCCTCAGGATATTTGGATGAAAAGCAGAAATTCAGAACATCTGGCCTTCACTTCCAGCACACTGAACTCGAATCACATCGTTTAGGTTTTTCATTATTTCCTGTAGCAGCAGTGGTCCTTAAAAAGCGGTGATGAATGAACAGGGGAGCGGATAACTTTGGACATGTGTCTGGGCCGTGGCTCAGGTGGCAGAGCGGGTCGTCCACGAATCGTGAGTTTGGCTTCTCCACGTGCCGAGGCGTCCCTCGGCAAGACGCTGAAGCCCGAGTGGCTCCCGGCGGCGGGCCGGGGCCTCGCGTGGCCGCTCTGCCGGGAGCATGTGCGTGAATGAGAAACACATTGTGAAGCACTGAGGAACATAAGGTCAGAGGTTATGTCTAGTTAGCACACAAACAAGTAGGACCAACATATACAACACAGTCCAATTAGAGATGTTCGCTGTAAGAATTGTGTTTTTATTCTGTGATGTTATGAGAATAACAGCGTTTAGCTTCACAGATGAGTCTAGAAATAGAGGGAATTTTAACTTGACCAGTTGGTTTTTCTTCTCCCTGGAAACGACGTTAATAACTGATAGAAGACAGTAAGACAGTTCCTAAAACTGCTAACAGTCTTTCTGTTCGTCTCTGCTGGGATTTCGTTCCCCTTTGTGACGATCTCCAGGTCTTTGAGGTTGAAGGTTTCCTCGCTGTCACTCTGGTATTCAGTTTCTCAAAGGGATTCACTCCAAAAAAAGCTAAAATAATTTTCTGTTGACCATTTCTTGGCCACTCGGCTGTATGTTCCCTCTTACTGGACGGTCCAACGCTGCCTAGAGACAAGTTTCTCTGCACATCTGACTGATCTTTTCCTCCACGGTCTGAATGCAGTTCTCTTTTCTCATGATACCGTTTACTTTGACAAGGTCATCAGCTGAAAGACACCTCCAGAGCGTCACCACGTTTGACCATGTGGACGGCGTTCTTACGACTGAGTGCTTCTTTCTTTCACCAAACAATCGCCACGTCCTTGTGTGCAAACAACTCAAAGCTGATGACCGAAGGCTTTCGTCTATGAAGAACACTCCTGTGCAGCGTCTTGGAGTGTCAGCGGTGTCGGAATTACTGGAGTTAATCAAGTCGGCCTTGGTGGTAATCTTTGGATCCTTCTTGGCTCATCGCACCACCGATCTTGCCAGTGCAGGAGTGACTTTTGGCTTTGACACCCGTTGAGCTTTGGATACTTGGATGTGACCTTTCCGCTCCTTGTAAGCAGCCACAATGCACAAGTTTACTCTCAGCGATGGACGACAGGAGCTCACGAAGCTCTTTGGTTTTCGCCATGACTCTCAGTGGACTAGAACAACCACAACATCAGCTACTAGAGGAAGTAGCAGGACCACTTGGGATGATATAGAAGTTGCTTTTCCTGTTGCAAGGGAGATAAAAGAATTTGGACGTGGAATTTTCTCTCTAACAAAACATCTTGCTGTCTTTTGTTTGTGTCATTTTCAACAAGAAGAAACTTATTAGTCAAATAATAAATCGCCACAAGTCAAAGTTCGACATAGATTTGATTAACTCTCATATTTCTATAGCATTACGTAACCCCACGTAATGGCGTTATCGTTTGTTTCTCAGTGACTCTCTGCTTTTGTTGTCGGCATCTGGAACAAATTCGCTGGAAATCATTCAAGTGTGTGTCGCCACCGGAAAGGATCGATTATTATTCGTGTTGAATTTGCACTAAGTACTCGTGTGAGGCACTCAGAGAATGAGTCACCCAGACGCAGGGCATGAATGTCTATTAGCTAAGTCCCTTAAGGTTAATTCAGTCACTCAAATCGGCATTAAAAAAATCAAACCTAGAGCTGACGATTATTATATTGAAATTGTGTCAACCTCTGCTGTAAAGGAACATGTTAGAGGAAGTAATGTCCCGTCTTAATGAATCCGATCTTCTGACTTTACTGCCAATCATGACGTTGATATTTCTGGTTTTAAATTAAATGTCGAATAACTTTGATGATCCGTTGTTTAACTGAGACCAAAGATCATATTTGTCTAACCTCCGTCCTGGTCTCGCTGTATCAACTCATCCGAACTTTCCTTCCAGTGGTGTTGGACGACAGCAAGCGAGTGGCCAAACGGCGCCTGATCGAGGAGAACCGGGAGAAGAGGAAGCGGGAGGAGATGGTGAAAACGCTACAGGTACGGCCGGAGCCGGACTCGGCGGAGTGGGACCTGATCAAGATGGTGACCGAAGCCCACCGGCACACCAACGCCCAGGGCTCCAGCTGGAAGCAGAAGCGCAAGTTCCTGGTGAGCTTTTGATTTTCAGAGCACGGGGAGCACTTCAGGCAGAGCGCCGATGCATGATGATGAATAGAAATCTTTCATATGAAAGTCAATAGTGACAGCGGCAGCCACATGCTCAGCTCAGTGATGTTTATTTAGTATTGGTTGCAGAGTTTTACATCATGCTGGCCTTTATCCCTCTTGTTCAGATTTAACGTGGCGAACCGCTGCAGCGGTGGCAGCTCATTGGGGGAAATGAAGGTGCTTTGAAACCCTTTGCACCCGATTTGCCACAGATGTGCGCTGCAAGAAAAACATCAGAGATCAGCTTAGAAATCACCGAACAACTCCAGAATTTTCCCAACCAGCATTACTAAGTTTTCTCCTCTAGCAAAGTGATCCAGTGATGGCATCCGTCGGTACAAACAGGAATAGCTAGTAGCCGCTTTAGCATCATTTTAATGAAAAGCAAATATAAAGTAAAAGGAGGATAGCGACTTAAAAGACAGTGCAGATTAAACTCCTCATAAATCCCCTGCAGATGGGAGATGCAGATGCAGATTACGGCTTCTAATTAATTCAGGAAAGCACAAAAACATAACCAAAAAAAATCTAATTAACTCCGTCGTAATAACGTGCACCTGAGCAGGCTGCTGTTTGGGATCCGTTGGTTCTTTTATGCTCCTCATTACTCCAAACCGTTCCACCCACAGCGTGCTGGAAGTCGTCTCCACATCACAAATCAGACTCGACTTAAAAGAAGCCGACTTCTTCTTTTCTTTTTTTTTCAAAAGGAGACATTTCGATATCTCTCGGTTTCATCAGCAGCCGGGTTCGTCCCACGTGACCCGGCGCCGCGCGGGGACGACGCGTGTGTCAGAACCAGCCGACGGTTACCATGACAGAAAGGTCAAACGATAGTTACCAGGCAACCGTTTCATGAAGGCGAGTTTAACGGTTAAATATAGTGGGTTTTTTTTGAGGGTCTGTAGAAAAGTGCAGTCCAAGGTGAGCACAGAAGAGAACAACCGGGCAGATTTTTCTGAATGAGTGATGGAGAGATTGGCTTTACTGCCGAAACCAAACTTTTGAAAATTCCATCATTGGAAAAAAAAATCCCTTCAGGACTCAGCAGCGTGATCTACGTCAAGTCTTCGCCAGAATAGCCAGCTAGTGTTGTGAACAAAATGTACGCTTGTAAATGTCTGCACGTGATTTTATAGATCTGACTGTTGTTCCCTTTTGTCTTCGTGATTTATAACATCCTGCTGGCGACCTTCAAGTTTCTCTCCAGCGATCCATAAAGTTCCACTATCACGGTCGAAACCTGTTTCCTGTCCGTTATGGCTCTCGCGTTCCCATTTCATCAAAACAGGATAGGAATTAGCCGCGTAGCATTGTTGGCAACGTGCTACCAACGAATCAGATAACATCTCGCTTCGGTCTCGTCGCCCTGATTGAAAGAGGCGGCGACGTGTCTTCGGCTTAACTTTCACCCAACTGTGTTTAAGTCCTCGCCGACAGTTTGCCGCTGTCACCGCTTCCCTCGTAAATTGACTGCATCTGCCCTTGTTGTTCTGCGATGTGGCTCTTCTCATTATCTTTACAATACCCTGTTAAACTTCTATGTTCTTCCTAATTTGCTCCGAACCCCTCTCCTCCGTCTGTACTTTCTTTTAATAGACCGCTGGTATTTAATTGGTTCCAGGCTGTTGCCATGTGAGTCTGTAAGCCTGTTAATAAGCCATGTCTTTGAAATGTCAGGCCTTTCCCCCTATAAGTGTCTCATCACTGCAACACAAGTTTCTTTTAACTTCCTCGAACAAAAGCGTAATTCAAGAAAATTCATTGTATAAACTAAAAAACTCAAAGATGAACTCACTGAGCTTTCAAAAAAAAACTTTTTAGGGGGTCTTTATTCGCCAAATATGCCTTCGGACATTTAAGCGATGAATGGCTCCATTGTGTCGTGTCTCGTTTCCAGCCGGATGACATCGGCCAGGGTCCGATGGTGCCCACTTCAGACGGAGACAAAGTGGACCTGGAAGCCTTCAGCGAGTTCACCAAGATCATGACCCCCGCCATCACCCGCGTCGTCGACTTTGCCAAGAAATTGCCGATGTTTTCAGAGGTAAGTGTTCGAACCGGTTTTGACACGGTTGTTCAAAACAAATCCTAAAGAACTTCAGTAATCCTTCGATGGCGGTTGAGTCTTTACATCAAATTCATTTTAGAATAGAATAGAAATTTACACGCCGCAGCAGCATCCAAAAATATAGAAAGTACAAGAAAATAATAACTAAGTAATATGCATCCTGGTGTCCGAACACAGCAGGTCCAAGGCCCCACCGTCTCTGGTTGGGCCGTCCACATGCTGGCTGAATGTGGGGAGAGTATTAGAGAGCGATGCATGATTAAAGTCTCCTGAGATGACGATCAGAGACTGAGGGTGTGATGTTTGCAGCTGGGACTCTGAACTATGGATGAGTTCACAGGATGTAAACTGTAATCACCAGGACCTGTGAAAAGTCCCTCGTAAAACGGCTGCAAATCAACCGCCAGCAGTTCAACATCCTTCGTGCAGCGCCGCCCTTTAACGCTAACGTGCAAGCATTGCACCATCTCTCATTCACATACATGAGGAGTCCCCAGCCTTTCTTCTCACCACTCTCCCACCAGCTCCGGTTCGCTCTGACCAGGTGAAATCCGCCCAAAGTTACGAGCGAGTCCGGAGTGAGTTTGTTCAGCCATGACTCTGTGAACAACATGAGGCTGCCGATGCTCCCACTGCAGCCGGGTCAGCGCTGGTAGCTGTTAGCTCTTCCATTCAACTTTTCCACATCATACTTGGAACACTGTGACTAACTCTGCACTACAATCCAAGAAGATTTCTGCGTTTTACATGAAAGCAAACTGTCATACAAACAGCTGAAAACCTCCTTCCTGGCTGTGATAGAACGGCGACAGAAAGGCTGTGCACGGGGCTGCTGATTGGTCAGAACACCGTGCTGACCCTCGTTCGCCAACAAAAACCCCTACAATGGGCACAAAAGGGTCACAGCTGGACCGTGCAGCAATGGATGAAGAAGGCCCGGGTTGATGAATCGCGTTTTCTTTTGAATCACGCGGACGGACAGGTGCGTCCCGAGACATGTGAAGCTGTGGGGGAGACCTTGGGTCTGCACCCACCGAATCATTGTTGCAGACCACGTGCGCACCTTCATGGCAACCGTGCTCCCCGATGGCCGCTTTCAGCCAGATAATGCGCCCTGCCGGACTTGCAAACATTGACAAAGAGTTCAAGGTGTTTTCTTGGCCTCCAGATTCCCCACACCTCAGATCGACTGAGCACCTGTGAGATACGCTGGGAAAAAGATCCGCGGAGGCTCGCAACTTCCAGGACGTCAGGAACTGCTGCTAATGTCTCTGTGCCGGATATCGCAGGACACCTGCAGAGTTTGGCAGGTCATGAGGATTCAATTAAACTACAATAGGAACTTTTTTTTAAATATTAAAACTCCACTTTGATCCTGTTCACTTTAAATTTTGAATGAGACCCAAAAGAATCATCTTTATTTGCAGCTTTAGTTCCTCATCTATGAACGCTGCGCTTCCACTGTGATGACTTTAAATGCAGACAGTAAATATATTGCGCCGCTAACGAGCTTGTTAACCTTATTGAGCGGGCACTTCCTCGGTCTGCAGCCTTTGTCCCGCTGCCTGTCAGCTGGGATTACACCACATAGTATTCTATCCGTCCTCCCCCTGGATGAAGTGATGACTCACTGCTCGCTGATTTCGCTCTGCTCTCCATGCAAATGATCCGCCAGCGAGTGTGCGTGCTCTCGCCTGCGTTCTGCCTAACAGAGTGCAGTCATGTATATTGTAGGGGCTTCCCGGTTACATAAAACGTGGCAGGGGATTTGTTGTGAATAGACGAGCAGAACCCTTTCTTAGCAAGGAAACGCTCCGAGACAATTATGTTGGTGGTGGAGAGAAAGAAAAAAAAAAAAAAACGATGACACCACATCTTACTGTGCATTATCCTGTCGGTAAAAATAACCAGCTGCACATTTAAAGTCCGTCCCTGCGTAGTTAAACCTCCGTATCAGTCAGCCAGCACTCACTGGTGCAGCAGAAATAACTCAGGGACAAATTTAACTGTAAAAAAATGCACGTTTTAGTCGCTGCACCTGTGAAGTCAAATACAACAGCTCTCACAAAAATGATTCTTTGACGAAGCTCATGCATTTTTAGTTTGTGTTCAAGTTGTCGATCATTTATTATTGAGGTCACTGTAGGTGGTGGGTGGAGGTGTTCTCGGCTACACTTGTCCCTCATGTCTGGGTAGTTGGGGGGCAAAATATTAGAAACACTGTCGGTGTAGAGCAGCGGTCTCAAACTCAAGTTACCCAGAGGCCGCTGGAGATAGAGTCTGAGTGAAGCTGGGCCGCATCAAGTATTCTTAAAAAAGTGCAACTGATCCAATCTTCTCAATCTGAACATGAATATTCTTCAGAACATCTCCTACCTCCTCCTTCCTCTTAGACAGCTGAGCCACATTTAGCTTGAGGGAGGAAACAATTGAGACCCTCAGTGTGGCTTGAAGATGCTCATCAGTAGGTTTGGACCTGTACTTTGACTTATTAAAGTTCATGGTGGAGAAGAGCTTTTCACACAGAGAGAAAAAAGCAAAACAAAAACTGGGTGACAGGATATATGTTCCCTCCACTCGGTGACACTCCCAAATCACGTGTCAAGTGGCTAACGTTGCTAATTCGCGTTGCTGTTGTGAGCCTGAGCTACGGTAGCCCACAAGTGACACTAACACTAAACTTTGTGGGGGGCCACAAAATATCATTCCGCGGGCTAATTGAGGCCCCCGGGCCACGAGTTTGAGACCCCTGGTATAGAAGCTTCAGAAGAGTACGATCGTTGTGGAGAGGCTTAGTCTGGAAGAAATGTTTGGGTGGATGGTTTCTGTCAACATCCACATGAATGCCAGAACCCGGCAGAACACACTAACGAGATGATCAACGGTAATCACTTCATCTGTCAGTGGGTTCTAGTCTCTGATTGTTCCTAATGCAGCTATAAACTTGTATTTGTTGGCCACACGGGGGCAGCAGAAACACGCTGAGAGCACAACACTAACATATTACAAACATCTGTTAAACTGTTCTAGTTTACCGTTAATAGGAAATTACAGGTCAGTGCAGCTTCACTGATAGTTTCAGTCATTATTTTAACTAGAACAATGTTTGAAAACACAGATGGTTCTGCCTCTCCACCACATCCCGCCTTTAGGTTGAAGTATTCGTGTTATTTCCTGTTTTTCGCCCCCTAACGACCTCACGCATTGTTCCCCAGCTGCCTTGTGAAGACCAGATCATCTTGCTGAAGGGTTGCTGCATGGAGATCATGTCGCTGCGTGCGGCCGTGCGCTACGACCCCGAGAGCGAGACGCTGACGCTGAACGGCGAGATGGCGGTGAAACGCGAGCAGCTGAAAAACGGCGGGCTGGGCGTGGTGTCGGACGCCATCTTTGATCTGGGCAAGAGCCTGGCGCAGTTTAACTTGGACGACTCGGAGGTGGCGCTGATGCAGGCGGTGCTGCTCATGAGCTCAGGTGAGTCATAAACGTGTGCGGATGTGAACCGGTTTCATTCCCCTGAGCGCATTTCTGTTATTTGTGGGGTCGTGCTTGTTTTTGCGAGGATTGTTTTTGGTTTCTTACCTGACTTCTTTGAGGTTCAGATAAAAGACACCGGCAAAGACAGAGTAAAAAATTCAATAACTGACTCATAAATAATGCAAGTGAAGGATCTGCTGCATCCGAGCTCAGATCACTTAAGTGGTTCACTGGATTCATTCATTTTCTGTAAACATGTTTTGTAATGTAACATGATTTGTCCTTTCTTTACACCAACGCCAGAACTCCCTGCGGAAACAGTCGCTCGCTAGAATAAAGGAAAAGTCCACCAGTGTTCCACACTGAGAACATTTTAGCAGTCACGCTGAGTACCACTGGGCCTGAGACAATACTTATATAAATATGGTCGTCTTTCAAGTCAGTCCGCTTGAAGGTTTTAGAGAATAAAGCACTTTGTTGATTATTATTATTTAAATAACAGAAATATTGCTGAATAAATCAATGGGTTTTTTTATTATTATTATTCCTGAACTCACTAAATAATCTGAATGAAAATAATTTTCTCTAATCTGCCTTTAATCTCTTCACTGCACAACACTAATTCCTGGACATTTTCTGAAACACGGACACAAAAACAATGAAGGAGGATGAACAACAAAGACCTGATGAATCTCTGGAGGAGAGAATAATGTGTAAAATGTGATCAAATATGCCATTTATGTTGGCTTCATGTATTCATTTGAGCCATGTTCACTGATGTGATGTCGTCATATTAAGACATAAGATTTGTTTTCCAGGCTTTTTATGCGTTTACTGCAAATTATAGTCTCACAATTTCCTGATTTCTTGATGTAATGTCAGTCTGTTTTGTCTTGTGTTTTGGGGTCAATAACAGTAATGTTCTGAGCAGGTATTTTTTATTTATTGTAATTAATAAAAAGATAAATGAGTGGTGGTAGAAGGAAACAGTGGGACTGAGTCTCGGCTTGTTCAACATAAACATCAAAGTAGAAATGGGCTTAGATGCTGTCCAGGACGTCACATTAGACCAGGGATCTCCAGCTCCGGTCCTCCTGAGCCACCGTCCTGCAGGTTTTAGACGTTTCCCATCTGCAACACACTTGACCTTTCCTCTGTCCTCTCCCCGGCAGACCGTTCAGGGCTGACCAGTGTGGAGAAGATCGAACAGTGCCAAGAGGCCTACCTGCTGGCATTCGAGCACTACATCAACTACCGCAAGCACAACATTCCCCACTTCTGGCCCAAGCTGCTGATGAAGGTGACGGACCTGCGCATGATCGGGGCGTGCCACGCCAGCCGCTTCCTCCACATGAAGGTGGAGTGTCCCAACGAACTCTTTCCCCCGCTCTTCCTGGAGGTCTTCGAGGACCAGGAAGTGTGACTTTACGTCACCCCCCTCCCCCCCTAAAAGGAGACATTTGTGGTGGTGGCGTTGGTAGAAGAGGAAGTGTAGGTGAAGGACAAGAGGAGAAGAAAAACTGGATTTTTTTTTTTCTTTTTCTTCAGTGAGATTGTGCCCTGTAAACTCTTTTTTGTTTTTTTTCTTTGGCCCTTTTTTGTTTCTCTTTTTCTTTTTTTTTTTGTCAGACACTCACCAGACCCACCGCCTGCCACCAGCAAATACACATCAACGTCATCCGAGAGACACACACTGGCAATCTGGCTATGCTTTTTGTCATTCTGAGAGGTGCACACACACTCACACACACTTACACACAGAGTTGTAAAAAGGTTTATTATCTTCAGAGATTTAAGACACACTGCCATAAAAGTACAGTTTATCTATATGCAAACATAAATCACATCTATTCACTCTTTTAGCACCTGTATGGACAAACAGCTATAACGTTCCTGCAACTAATGCAAACTGAGGGGCTTGGTTACGTCTCTACTAGCTGCACACCCACCAACACCTCAGACAAGTGTCATTTTATTTAATCTCTGGGACCTGACCATTAGCTCCTCAGACAGCTCCACACCCCTCCAGACACCCCACCTCCCTTGCATCTCCTTAACTGGAACGGCGTCCTCGTTTTTGGTTTTTTTTTTTCGTCTGCGCTTGTGGCCCGAAAACCCTCAAGGCTCTGTGAGTGTTCGTCAACCTACCTCCCTCACGTACTGACCTCTCTCTTTCTCTGTCTCGTGTGCACACAGAGACACACACACACAAACACACGCAATGTACATGTACAAAACACACCCCTACACTATTACCTCATACCTAGTAAAAGCGTGTTTCCTCATTTATTGTGTGGGTGGTGGTAGTTTCACTAGAAAACATGGAGCCATGCAGTTCTCAATTACCCATGTACCTCTTTGCTAGTAGACGATAGAGCTTCGTATGAAGCCCTCATCTATGATGTATTATTTAGACACACGTATGTCTTATAGTTGCAGTCATAAGACATGATAGGTATTATTATTATGGATTTAAAGGTTACTAGAGGTCATGAACATTGTGGTGCTTTCTGCGATCGCTGAATAGGGAGTGTGGCTACAGCATCTTTGTACGCTAACTGTTTGGTTAATATAAAAGCATAGTTAAGTATTCTGAGCCCCCTATTTAGAAGTTTGACAGCACTCATCTGTACGAGGCTACAGCTGGTTAGCTTAGCTTCATGCAAAGACTGAAAGCAAGCCGTTAGCATGTCGGACGTGTAATCACAACACGTCGTGGTTTAATAGGGGTTGAATGCCAGACTTGTCTGTTAGTTTATCATCAGACAGAGTCGGTAACTGCTTCCCGCATTTTGAATATTAAGCTAAAGTTAAGTGAATGTCTTGTGGGTTTAAATACTTTATATGAAAATCGTATCAATCGTCTCACTAAACTCTTGCCAGGAAAGCAATTAAGCGGGAGGAGTCCCAGAATGCCGACCATGGGTCCAGAGTAATATATTTGAACAGCCATTTGATTAATTCCCATTAAATCTTCCCGGAGGATGAACTGTAATATCTTTTTCATCAGGTCAGATTTTCAATTTCTTCAGTACTTGGAGCTACCTTAAATCTCCATTAACCTCCGCCATGCTTCACGCTTAAAGCTGATTCTCAGATCCTGGTGCGCTGAGCAAACGCCCCCCCTCTGCACGGAGCTTTTTCTAATAGCAATGATACTCTAAAACTAAAAGAATACTGACACCAAGTGTTAGCGAGACAAATTTAGCGACTAGCAGGTAAACGGGGCAACAGCTAGCAGCTAAAGATAATTCTCTCAGGAGGTGGTGGAGACCAAAAACTGAGCTCAGCCACGCTAATAATTGGACGTACATTCGCTAGGTGGCTAAAAACACAACTCATGCTAATGTTGCTAAGTAATGGATAGGCGTCTAATTGGACAAGAAAAGTGCCATCTTTGTTTTTGCAGCTCTTCTCTGCTGACCCCTAGTGGGCAAAAAAGAAAAATTTCTGCAGTGGCTTTGCTTTCAAGTTAATCAACGGTTGTGTTCGAATAGTCAAAAATAATTTAAAAAAATTTTCCTGAACATTTTTCTTGGAGCTTCATAGAAAACCTCATGAGGTCCAGGAAAGAGTTCACGAGAACATAAGAAAAACCAATCACGGTGCTTAGAGAACCTGACTGCACTTATTAGGATTATCTTTCTATGCTGGGGCCACAAGGTAAAGGAAGGTCCAGTGTATGGGATGCTAAATGGGATAATAAAGGAACCACTGAAGAACTTTCCTGAGCATTTAGAGACCTGGAGCTGCCTCTTCGATACTTCCAGGTCATTACACTCAGAGAACCTTCCTCTGCAAAAAAAAAAAAGACAATTCGACCCCAAACTGCGTCCACGTATTAGTAGATCGTCGCAGTTATAGTCTGTTGTAACCTCAGTCTCAATCCAGTGTGTTTGCAGAAAGCGCCGGTTAGAACATCTTCTACTTTTGCATCTGAAAATGAAAAAAATAAAAAAACGTCTATCATATTGTTATTATACTGACTATAGCCTACAACAGAACGTCTACTTATATTTATATATATAGCTGGAATACCTCACACATACCTCCTGTTTTCATTACCTCACACACGCACCCATTCAGTTGTTTTCTGATGTTATTACCTCATTCGTTTCGTCGCTTATCTCTCATGTCGTCCGCCTGAGTAACCACTGGGCTGCGCACGCTTTTTTCTCGTCTCCAACGCGTCGACGTGTGCACGTCTTTCCACTGGAGCCCCTGTCCCGCTCATCGCTCCGCCTCCTCCTCGGCTCTCCCCTCCGTCTTGTGATAGGTTCAGCACTAGCACATGGTGGTGGGAGAGGATGGTGTACCTCTCCAGGCCTTTCCCCGCCCCCCCTCCACCTCCACCCCGCCCTCCACCCGTCGCCTGCACCCATTTCAAGTCCCGCCTGAAACCGACAGATTCTACCTCACCTCTCATCTCAGAGCAGCTGCCCCTCTGTCTGCAACACATACATGCACAGATACAGAAATATACAGTATATATATAGATATAGATATATGTACACAGTGCACAAATGACTTGCCAGCATGGACCCACTCAGAGTGCTGCTCCTCCAACAGCGAGCAGCGGTCGTTTAAAACGGGCCATGGATCAACAACCGACAGCTGACACGGCAGTTTTTGTAATTTTCTCCCTTCTTCTTTTTCTTTTTTTTGTTTTTTTCTTTCATTTTTATCACGCACCACTGGGGACCAAGAGTCACTTTGATTTCTGTTTTTATTTGGGAACCTGAAACGACATCGAGGGCAGAGGTGAATATGTGACATGACTGTGTGCCGACTGAACTTACAGGAAACTGTCGGGGGAGAACGACAGCTGGAAGCTGGGACTCCAGTTGAAGCCATTTCGGCCCTTCGGGGTCAGGCCAACTCTTGTGGGTGGTGACTGGGAGGTAAATAAACAACAACAAGTGAATCAGCAGCATTCGCCTGTGGATACGGTTTCATCCCGGCCGAGGTGATGGGAACGGCAAGCGTGCGACGGTGGCGACGCGACCAGGCCGAGCCACGAGAAAAACCTCGCGCAAAATTTTATGGCCCCGATGATACATCTTCAGATCCTTCCCTCGCAGCAGTCGCAGCAGAGACGGACGAGCTCTCTCCAGACTTTCTCAGCGACTGTCCTATCCCAGAAACTTACAACGTGAATTAATCACTGCTGAAAAAGATCTCCACCAACCATATCCCAAAATGCCATCCACTACAAATAATTATCAGGTTTTTTTATGTTGCACTAAAAACACAATGTCTGTATCCCTTAGTAGCCCTGAAGCCCTTCCTCTACCCCCTCCCCCCAGCATCTGTCCTGTTCCTGCCTGTCTGTAGCAGTCTTAACAATATTCTCTCAGAAACATGAAAACACACACACGGTCCGTTATCTCTTGATTACCTGTTTAAACACACAAGGACTGTGACATGGCCTTTAGGCGTCGCCACTCTCAGTGTTACTAATCTATGTTGCAGGGTATTTCAATAGAACGTGCTGATTACACAGGGATAAGCGCACGCACACACACACACACACACACTCTCACACACACAGCAATAGGTTGATCGAGCCGTACAGGTCCACGCCCGCCGCCTGCCGGCTTGCTGTGTTTGTACTCCGCTCACTATCACTGTGAATGAAAGAGCCATGCTGCAACCGGGTCATGGCTCAGACAGGGAACTGGTGGCTTAGTAATTCATACATGTCGATGTGCCTCGCAGAGGTCGGTAATACAGATAAACACTATACAGTATATAGAAGCATATATTTATAGATATACAGTATATAGATATATATATAAATGTTACATGTGGCATTAGAGCTATCAGCGGCTGACCGTAGGCCGCCAGCTTCGATCGGATCGCCAACCCGTCTGACCAATCATGTAGCAGAAGGGTGTCAGAAGTCACTTTACTCAGCTGTAATATAAAAACCTATAATGTTTATTTTCAGATGATATGATGCATTATGACGCTTGTTTGCCTTGTGGTGATCACCAACTACCCTCCATAGTCCACCCACCCTCTCGCGTACTTCTAGATACTTCTGCATCTCTTGTTTCCTCGTTCAGAGACGGCGACGATGAGGTCAGGACGCGTGATGATGTTTTTCCGATTGGAGCTGGCGGCTCAGCCTCTCTGTCTCTCTCTTTCTCAGCCAAATGATCACCGGAGAAACCCTCTCCCTGTCCTCTTAAAAACGAAACACACCAGCACCACAGAGCACACTGCCTTCAGCCATGATCAGTTGCACCAGCATAGTAGAGAGACAGACAGCAACCATCCTCCTCACCAAAAAGCCATTATTACCTGGACGCCATCACACTGCTATGTTCAGACAGCAGGCAAATCCAGTTAGTTCTGCAAATCTGGTCCGCGGACAGCGACGCGTCTCGCGGACCAGGTCGGACACTACATCCATTTACTGACTCTTGACTTTGGTTGTCATAGTAACAGGACACCCGGGCACACTGGAGCATGTCAACCCAGTGCTTCTTCTATAACTTCTTCTCTGGCTTCATCACCTCCTTTGCCCTGCGTTCACCAGAGAAACTTTCTCCTGTGTTTCCTGTAGTGATCATCCCTGAGTACGGGGGCACACGGGGCAGTTTTTTTTTGCAGGATGAGCAGCATTGAAAAGCCTCCAGTTGTCAGAGCCACAGAGTCAAAAAATAAATAAATAAATAAATTTCTTGTGGCAATAAAGCATTGAAATAAATAAATAAATTTCTTGTGGCAATAAAGCATTGTATGAAACGAGCAGCATCACCGAGGCCATCCAGAGTCGCCTCTGTGTGACGACCCTGCACCACGTTCCACACACGACCAGCCGAGCTGCAGAATAAACCGATAACGTCTCCGTCTTTTCCGCACCGTGACCACAGAATTGTGTTTTCTCTCTCGCTCGCTCTCTCTCTCTCTTTCTCTCTTTCTCTCTCTCTGTCTGTTAGATTAACGTTAGGGTTATGTTACGTTTACAACAAACTATAATGTGAACTTCATGCGACGCTCTGCCTCTGCAGCACGGCACGAACCTCTAACAACCACACTGAAACAGTACAACTACTGCTTTTAACTACTTACCCAGGGAAAACATCTGTAAGTCCACATCCTCTCTTCGTCACATCTGCGTTCCCCCGTCCTTCGATATACGCCCCCCCCCCCCCACCCGAAACCCTCGCGTTCCCATTCTAGTCTCCTGTTTTTTCAGTCTTCCCCCGTAATTTACATCCTGAAAAAAAAAACCCTTTTTTTCTATTTATTTCACTCTCCTCTCAGTGTGCACCTCCTTCCTTTCTCGCACACTCAAAAAACTACCCCAACTCATACGAGCACTCTTTTGGTGGAGAAAGACGACAATCCCTGCAGGAATATGTCCACATGTGGAATGTAAAATACTGAAATTGTACGATTAAAGACACGGTGTGAAGTCCCACACTCATGTTGTTTTTTGATGTTGTTGATGTTGCTTTCGTTGTGCACCAAGTGTTCGTTGTTCTGCTTATTCTAGGGTGGATGAGTTTTTAAGGTTGGGCTTGAAACCCAGATCGTGTGACAGATGGCTACTGATGAGTCCTTTTTTTTTTTTTTTTTTTTTAAAGAAAAAAAAAGAGAAAAAAACATAGTATGTTTGTAAAACACTTGTGGTGTGAGGACTGAAAATCTTGAGTGATGTAAAGCAAGGGATGAAGTGACTTTGTTTTGGGTAGAGAAAACAGCTGTTTTATGATTCTTCTTTTTATGTCGTTATTAATTTGCATCTGATTTTCTTGGTAACTGAAATTTCTGTCTATCTGTGATGATGCTTTACTGTGAGAATGGCTGTACATGCACTTTCAGACCATCGTTGGTGCAGTGGTAGCTAGTGCTCGAACATCATCCGGGGCTCGGCCTTCCACTCGCCTCCAGTTCAGCTAGCTCGAACGAAACAAAACACGCCACGAGAGTCGCGTTTAGGGACGAGGCGCGCTGGTCACGTTACACATTCTGACGAGAGTTTTTGGCGCCGGAGCCTGCTAACGCCGAGAGCTGCGTTCACTAGCACTTTAAAATGCACTGTATCGCAAATATGGGTGACTTGAAGACTTTTCACTGCAAATTATCGAGTTAAGCTAGAGGTGAGATAAGCTAAGACGGGAAAAGTACAGCACAGAACGGAAATGCTTCTGTGGCTTAAGATTCGAGGATATGAAATCTAGAGGAACCAATGCTAACGGCTAATTAGCGAACTAGCTGATACAGGAACTAATTACCCCCCAAGTCTGCCCCCACATTTGAGAATTTTGCATTTCTACAACCAAAGCACTTACAATTTACAAGCACTTATGATTCTTAAGAGGTGTTAAACATCCAGCAGATGATTTGTACATCTGCAGCTAATAGCTAACTAGCTACGTTTCGAGCTAATCTGGCGTATTAGTTCCCGATTGCCTTTCCGCGAAGACATACGACACAGAAACACTCGTATTTTTGAGGCGTTTCTGGTGTTAAACGACAATTAGTTGCGCCTTTT